GTGTGTGTGTGTGTGTGTGTGTGTGTGTGTGTGTGTGTGTGTGTGTGAGAGAGAGAGAGAGAGAGAGAGAGAGAGAGAGAGAGAGAGAGAGATTTTGCATGTTGGCCTGCAGGTGTGGAGGAATGGAGGCCGCCTGAAATTGTGTGAAATGTCCTTGAGGTTAGAATTGGAATAATGATGCCCTCTGGGACATCGGTTGTACTTGGAACGATACAGAGAAGATCAGGATGACCCCTGTGCAAGGATGACGCACATAAATTGAGAAATAGTCCAAATTAAAAGGAAAAACTGGAATAATGATGAGAAAGGTGCATGGCCCCTGATGTAGGATGATGGCGACAAATCGGCTTGTTGTGGGGAAGAAAAAGAGAGGAAAACAAGGAAAACAGTGTTGTCCTTCGAGATGTCCATCGAAATTGGAATGATACAGATAGGATTATCATGGGCCATATGCAAGGATGAATCACACGCATAGAAAAATGGTCCGTTTTTTTTCTGAATGAAAAGGATGTGAAAGTTGTCACGGTTCTTGTCATTTTGGTGGTCATCACTGACGATTTGCATCGAATGTACGACTGTCCCCTTCTGGTTGTGATTGGTGCAGACAGCTCAGCAACAGCTCGTTCTCCTGCAAGTCACACATCCATCCCTGGCAGGCCGGCATGCAGTCAGGTCAACGCCATCATCCTTCATCTTTGCCCTTTCTGGTGCCAAGACAGACGCCCTACTTCTTTCCTATCAGGTAGGAATGACCATTATTGAGGATCGGTAATGACAGGTTTCTCTCGGTCATGCCATCCGATTAGCAACCAAATGTTTGGATTCTTCATCTTCTGATTCATCATTTTTTTTAATTAATTTTTTATCATGTATATACGATGTTACGTGTTCTTGCCATTGTTGGTGCAGAATGCGAACATCGCTGAGCTGTAGAATGGCGTTCTGTAACTTCTGTTCAATTTTCCAAATGAACAGAGGGGTACTGTTCTCCTTCTGTATGAACGGTTCACTTTGTCGTTAGTTCTTCGTTCGAGGTTGCTTTTTGTTTTCTTGTCTGGTTCTTGCCAGATAGAGGGATCAGTGTGTTTGCCGTCGACATTTTTTTTGTGATGAGCCCGCTTGTTACTTCGGTGCTCGATGATATAGACGGTGGTAAGAAAAGCGGATTCCCCTCGCATTCTGTTCCACATCACGGCCAAATTCGTATGGAAGAACCATCGACAACTCCTGCAGGAGTTGTCAATGATGGTGGTGGTGGTGGTGCTGCTGCTACCGGTGATCTGCTGTCACTCGATAGCGAGAAATTTGTGCCCTTTGTTAGAAATGATCTTTATGGCACGAAGGGGGAGGGGGCATTAGGATTGATTGACCGGCTGCGGCTGTTCGTAGCTGCATGTACACTGCTACCAATCCGAATTCTTGGCTCCATCTTTTTTGTTGTTCTTTATTATGTTATATGCCGTCTTCTCACCTCGCCCTCCCCTACTGCTGGTTCTAGTGGAAAATTAGCAGTTGTGGAGCTGCAGGGTATAAGACGAACAATCATTAAGTGCTCCGGTCAATTCTGCGCCAGAGCGGTTTTGTTTATATGTGGTTTTTATTACATCAGAGAAAGCAGGCGACCACGGGTGGGAACAACAGTCGAAGACGCTCGTGTCCCTCATTCTGGAGCTAGCACCAGTGCCCAGTTTTGTTCACAAGAGTCCGGAAAAAGGAATAGCTCAGGAACCGCAACGGTGGATGGGAATGGTGAGGGCGATGCTGGCGACGCGTGCGATTGGCCCACTGCTATTGTGTCAAATCACGTCTCTTGGGTCGATATTCTCTACCATATGTATGCGTTTTACCCAAGTTTTGTCGCCAAGGAATCTGTAGCAGGTATTCCATTAGTTGGTCTCATCAGCAAGTGTATGGGTTGCATATTCGTCAAACGCGAAGGCGTAAGAGTGAAGGGCACGTCAACCCTGGTCCTTGACCGGTTGATATCTGTGCAGAAGAACAAGCACGCGCAGCCGATGCTGCTTTTCCCGGAGGGAACGACAACAAATGGGGAGTACCTCCTGCCCTTTAAAACAGGGGCATTCCTGGCGCAGAGCCCAGTCTTGCCTGTCCTGCTCAGGTATCCACACAGACGTCTCAGTCCAACCTGGGAGACCATAACGGCAACGAGGCACATCTTTCTTTTGATGTGTCAGCTCGTCAATCGTCTGGAAGTTACAATCTTCCCCACCTACATTCCGTCCGAGAAGGAGCGCCTTGATCCACGTTTGTACGCTGACAATGTGAGGCTAATGCTCCTGAGGGAAGGTGGCCTTAGAGCCTCAAAAAGTGGCCTCCGCGAAAAGCGCGTATACCAGGCCTTGCTCTGCGGAGAAACCCCATCCATTGAACGAAACGAAAAGCTCGATTGATGTGCTCCTCTTCCTGTGGTATTGCGGTTTTGGTCAATGTGCCCGCCATCTGCTTTTGAAGCTGGAGGGAAGGCCACTGCAAAACTTGCAATTGCTGAATTTTACAAATACATGTTGCCAGGCCCAGCATTTCCCGGGGAAGCTCTGTCTCTCTGTGCGTATGCGAAAGATTGACTGAAGCACAAAATTTCTTCACTGCTCTTCTGCAGGCTGCCATGCAGCTGCAAGACTAAAGTAATTTGTTTTTTTTCCCATCGTACATGTAGGTATGCCCCATTGTTCGCATTGTGGGGCGAGTGATGGTGCCATCGCTGACATAATTACCACGTCTCCTCTTTTAGTGAGCTGTTGTTTCACAGTGGCAGTCAGTGACGTAGTTATTCTACCTCAGCATTTCAGGAGCTGTGGTGTTACGGCAGTTTCAGTAGTGTAAATATTATTATTATTATTTTTTTTTTTTTTCTATTTCAGCTTCGGTGAGCAGTCTGATGTCTGATGGGCGGCGATTAGTGTCATAGTTACTGCTCGCCAGCTGTTGGTGAATAGTGACATAGTTATTGCTCACCAGCTTCGGTGAGCAGTCTGATGTGGAGGAGGAGAAATAGCATGTGTGGTAGTGGTTCAGAGAATAGATTGCAGAGTATGGCCAAGAGCTGCCACCAGAGTGCAAGCATCGATACTCTTTCAAGAGGATTGAAGCTTTCATGCCAGGTCATCCACGCCTTCTGGTCATCCACGCCTTCTGCCGGCTCCTATGTACTCTGCATCTTGACGTAGTCATCGCTCGTCAGCTTCGGTGAGCAGTCTGATGGGGAGGAGGAGAAACAGCTTGTGTGGTAGTGACTCAGAGAATCGATGGCACAGTATGGCCAAGAGCTGCCACAAGAGTGCAACAAGTATCAGTACTGTTTCGAAGAGGATTGAAGCTGTCGTGGCAGTTTGTCCGGTTCTATATACTGCGCGTCTTCTTTGGATTTGGAGAGCACCTCCATTCAGGGCTCATACACCTCCACCAAATGCTTTAACCATGGGCCTTGCTCCACTGCATGACATTTTAGACGTATGTGGATTTACAGTGGCCGCGACACATTTCAAATGATTTATCAGTCTGAATGTATTTGGTTCATCACACAGTCTTCATATGTGTCACAAATGTCGAGTAGTGGAGCAAGGTCCAATATCCATTGTTGCAGAAGGTTGCAACGAAAAGTGAAAACTGGAAAAGAGTGAAGAAGGGAGAGGGCGGCAGAAGGGCCTCGGACACGAGGTGTTTGTCAAAGTGAAAACTTGTTGTCTGAAACCCCGGACGGTCCATCAATTAACAGAATTTATAAAAAATACAAGCTGGGTCTTAGCCTGGCCTGGATATTTTGAAACAGGTCAATTTAACACTACCACAAAAGACTCTCGCCCACTCGAGGAGCCTTTGATTGCGGCTTGCAGGACATTGTGGAGTCGAGGTACACCACAAATGTCCTCAGCCTCCTGACCTGTGAAGTAGTCGGTGCTGTGCCGGGCTACGATAAATGTAACTTGACTGTGATAGTGGCTACATGCAGTCTAGGTAATGCTAGTGTGAATAGGTTGTGATGAGTGTGCTGGACCCAGCTGGTGCAGCAGTTGTGCCCTCTTCCCAAAGCTCAGATCCTTCCCTATAATGAGTGTATGTTTACTGCATTTGTGGCTACATGCAGTCAAGTTAATCACATTGGAATAGTAGAAGTACGTACGAGTCAGTGCGCTGCGCCTAGCTGGGTTACAGAATTATTCTCTTGGCGAATGCAGCAGGGTGTGCGTATGCATGCTCTGAAAAGCCAATCAGGTGAAAGGCATTCTGGTGAAGGATGGTGCATTATGACGGCAATTGTGGCTACATGCAGTCAATCTTACCCAAGCGTCAGTAAGTGAAAGTCGGCTTACCGCATTTAGCTGCTGTTCCAACTGCGACTTCTTTGAGTGAATGGGACATGAATGTATCATGACTGCGATTGTGGCTACACGCAGTCAAATCTAATCCCAGTGTCGGTAACTATCAGTCGGCATGCCCCACATTCAGCTGCTGCGGCAACCGGCTTCTTTGAGCGAATGCAGCATGAATCTACAAGGATTGCAGTTGTGGCTGCATCCAGTGAAATCTAATCCCAGTGTCACTAAGTATCAGTCGGCATGCTGCATTCAGCTGCTGCATGAACCAGCTTCTTTGAGCGAGTGCTGCATGGGTCATCGGTCAATGACGTATTATGACCGCAGTCAATGTAATCCCATGTGCATGCTTTCCAGACGCGAGGATAGTCAGCTGATAGAAGACCTCTTGCTGAAGGTATTTCGGACGAGGGTCCCAGTGAATGTAATCCCATGTGCACGCTTTCCAGAGGCAACGATCGTCAGCTGATGGAAGATGTCTTGTTGAAGGCATTTCTGACGAGTGTCCCTGTAGACGCCCGAGTCCTTTCCTGAAGAAGCAGCCCCCCAAAGGATGTGAGAAATGACTTCGTCTCCCAAGGCTGAATGACTGGGCAAGGCTCTGCAACAACCCCTGCCTTGATCCCTATTATTTAATCTCTCCGCCTTCCTCTCTCACACTGTTAGGGGTAAGGCAGGGAGCTGTGGAAACAGCTTGGCGACAAGCTGGCGAACCGCGTAGGCAACAAAGATCGTCCTTGAAGAAGTCGCTGGTGGTTCGCAGTGGATGGGAGTGCACTCTACTCTGTGGAGCAGTTGCCTGGTCGGCGAATAGGCAAAATGATGAGCATTTGTTGAGAGGCCTCCCCAAGCAGGAACGTTACCGACGAGTCAAGGCAGATCATCTCAGGGTTGCCTTGTGGTGGTACTGTTGGGGAGGGAGTAGCGATAGCTGTTATTCTAAGTATCGTGTGTGCTTGTTTATCCACCAGTGAGTAGATGGCCTAGAGGGATGTTTGATTGCTGTGCAGGCATTTGAGAGGAATGGTGAAACGACTCGTATGTGTTTGTTTTCTCACCACATCTCGGGGTGATGTTGTGGCTCAACACTTGGCAACGACGTGCTGAACCGGTCTGAGAAAAGCGATGGGAGCAAAGGAACTACAAATGGTCTGCGGCAGCGTGGCTGCTGACGGAGCAGAGATAGCAAGAAGCTTAATTCGACTGTTTGAGGATAAGGCACGTCTTTGGTGAAACGACTCGTATGTGTTCATTTGTTGAGCTGCTACCATCGTTCCCTGATGATAATGCAGTGTCATTAGAGCTGTATATAGATAGACATGGCCGACTCCCTGAGCTCCAAAGCCCACAATGGCCCATATCCTATGGCGAGGTATGGTTAGGGCGTACTCAAGCTACTTCTATCGTAAATGTATCTGACCACGTTTACAGCCAGACCTGGATGCATTTGATGGCAATCACGTCCATAAAACAAGTAAAGAAGTCCTAGTTCGAGTATGCCCTCTAGCAATGAGATCATTTTCTTTCAGTCAATGATATATCGAGGATTACTATAACATTTACATGTAGCGGAAATCCTGTTTATGGTTGCCGTTCGTTTGTAGCGATGAGCATAGCATGACAAAGGCTATACCGATTTACAAGTAGCGACGATCCTACTTATGGTTGCACTTTGTTCATAGTGATGAACATGACAGTACATGTGATTGCTTGTGGAAAAGGCGATCGACTGGCGTGGAACTTTGCTGAACTGACTTGACTCCGATCGGTGGTCTTGTAGTCTCCCAATCTCTTCCTGGAATTGTTGCAGGCAGGAGTTTATGGATAGTTCATTTATTTATATAAACTTATAAAGCCAATATTAGTTCTGAAGGGTCTCAAAAGAGTGTGTGAGGCTGGAAACTGACAAAACAGGTCTGTCCTGGAGATGTTAGTGTTCCGCCCCAAGTATGCAAGTTCTGTCCCAGGCATGGCAGTTCTGCACCGGATATGGTGGTCCCGGGAGGGACATGGTGGGTGCGGCCGGGTAAGTGGTGGTCCAAACAGTGTGCAGATCCTGTGGCTCCTCGGAAGCAATTGTGGGCAGTTCAGGACGGTGTGGACCTCCGGTATCAATTCCTGATGCGCAGGGCCCGAACGGTTTGGGACTGTGGTCTATGCTTGGAGTTTGAACCAATGGTCCAGGCCACTGCATTGACTTCATACGGGTGGCTGCATGGCTGCCGTCAGCTTGTGTCGCGACATGTTGGGTTAAGTCCAACGACAATCGGAACCCTCGTTTTGAACGCGGTCTATGTTTGGAGTTTGAACCAAGCGTGGTCTATGT